CTTAAAACATGTGCATTCTGTTGTTAAATTGCAGAAAGAAAAACAGTAGCGAGATGTAAGAATAATTTCAATGTCTTTTTTTTTCTATATTGATAAAGTTTTTTGACAGTAGAAAAGAAACCAATGGATTTATTTTCAAGAGAATAGTTTTGACAGTTTTCAAAAATGCAGTTGTTACTTAAACAATTAAGAAGATGTATTGTATTAAATAAAAAAAACCAAACATGCTGATCATCTTATTGATAAATGGCCTGTTAGTTAGTGATAATTTTGAAAAATTGTTAGTAATGCAGATTGATTCTTTGATTATCTGATACACGTCCAAAAATAATACCACCATTTCTCTTTTTTTTAGTTATATAAGCAGCTTCATTCACAACACTGAATTGATACATGTTAGTTTGTGAACCGTTGTAACAGAAACCATTAAACTAGGTCCACTATGAAACCATTTCATCATAGCATAGAAATTGTATTAGATTCTGGATCTCCACTTTTAAATCTTTTTAGTTATACAAGATCAATGTTTGTGGCAGAAACTATAGACTGCAGCTTTTGTTTACTTGGAAGCACAAAAAAATTACGAAGTTGATAGTAGTTGGAGTTATAAAAAAAAATTATCGGCTATAGAAACTTCTATTACACAATAACTTAAAATGTCTTGCCATAAATTTCAGTTGAAAGCATCATAGAATTCAAGTTCAATTTCTGAAAGAATAATTTTCACCTTTTCAATAACATCATTAACATACAGATTATTAACTATAAACTAAATTAATAGCTTCAAAAAACTGTGAGTAAATTGTTAAGCCATTTTTGGGATTCAATATATTGCTCAATGGAACGCTAATGCTATGTTTAAAAGCAGAAAAATTTAGTCTTAAACACACTGTACACTTATTATAAACAAATTTTATTATGAAGCTGTCTTTAAATTCCTTTAACATAAAAATGCATATAAATTCATCTTTTTGCCGGAATTTTACAAAATTTTCATATTTTCTGTGTATCTATATAAAAAAAGTCACACACAAAAAAAGAAATTTTTTGAGAGAATTAGGGAAACTAATTAAGAAAGCAAATAAAAAAACTTTATTTTTTTAATAAAAATAATAAAATTGCTGTTCTTCAGGCTTATATAGGCGAAGCACTAGCTTTGGTGTTGGTAGGCAAGAAAAAGGAACAATAAAAAATAATTGATGCAACTTGTGATTGAGTATAGCCACGAGGAAACTTAGTCATTTCTGTATTTTCAATATTTTTCACACATAAAATATTCTTTAGATTAATCGAATAATGTTTCTCAACATCATCTTTAGATAATTTAAAAACGCGAAAAATTGCCTTCGTTATACAATTTACAACCTCACATTTATTTGGCATTAAGAAAGAGATTTTTTAAAAATATATTATGGCAACTTTAAAAACACTTAATACCTTTCGATAGCGAAGTCAGAAAATTAACTTTGCGCGTCCTGTTATATAGTAGTCCTATAGTTGATTTAAGATAAACCACCCATAAATTAGGCAAAAGTATATAAGCTTTAGACTTAGTGAATTTATATATCAGAGAATTCAATACATTCCAACAAATCTTGTTTTATTTTTTTTTTGAGCTGAACTTTAATGCTGTTAAATCTTTCAATCTTATTGACTGATAATGTACAGTAACAGGACTATGAACACAGGACTATGAACACAGAATTATGAATACAGGACTATGAACACAGGACTATGAACACAGGACTATGAACACAGAACTATGAACACAGAACTATGAACACAGGACTATGAACACAGGACTATGAACACAGGACTATGAACACAGGACTATGAACACAGGACTATGAACACAGGACTATGAACACAGGACTATGAACGTAACAGAAGCTGATATTCGATTATTTATAGCAACTCATTGAGACTCTTTTGTTGAGTTCAATAGATATCCGTGTCACACTCAATCAGTTGAACGGTGCTTAAATATTGTTACGGAGGCATCGCTGGGATGCTTTTTTAAACAAAGAACTTTATTAAGTTTAGTTGGTTGAAAACTTGCCCACGCTATGTGAAAATAAATTAGGCAAAAGTATATAAACTTGAGACTTACTGAGTTTATATATCAGAGAATTTAATACATTCCAGCAAACCTTGTTTTATTTATTTTTGCAGCGGACTCAATATAAAGATTTTGAGCGGTTCGCTGATGTTTTACTTATCAATTACTTAGTGGAACATTAGTGGCAGCCGTAATCAATGACCAGCTGAAAACTTTTTGACATGTTAATAACGACTAGTCATCGGATAGTCTCTTTTGGCGACTGCAACCAATGATCTACTAAGTAACCGATAGACAAAACAATAGTGGACCGTTTAAAAGCCTATATAGGCCAACTGAAATTCCTTTTTAGAATGTTATCTGGGGTTATATTAAATGTTTTACTATTATTTGATTGTAGGTATTGTAAACAATCAAAAATTAAAGGTTTTTTTTAATTTTTTTAATGTAAATTTACCTCCCCAAGGCCTAGAAGGCCACTACAGACATGGAGGTTACCCATGTGGGTGTTATGACAGATGTTTTTTAATTTGTTTTCAATTTATGATAAACTTATGATAGTAGTTTTAAAGAAATTTTTTGCGTTTTTTTTTTATGAAACAATGTATATTGTATTTTTTTTAACGTTAAGAGAAAGTTTGTTCGATCAAAACCAATCAATTATGCTCTCTAATTCAACGTTTGTGTCTGCATGTAGTTAGATTGTATTGGTGTTAAATAAATAAAAAATGTATTATCTGAAAGCATGATAGAGTTTAGTTTTACTGATGCATTATTGAAATCATTAACATAAATAAACATGAGAGTGGCGTCGATCCTTGAGGCAATCTATACAGAGTATTCCAGATTTCTTGTTTTGAACATATTGCTTTTTATTAGTTAGAAAACAATATGTTCAAAACAAGAACATGTGCTTTTTATCCAATGATAAAATTAATTGCGTATTCCGTAACACTTTAGCAAATTAAACAGAATAATGTGATCAAGGGTGCCTTTAATAAATCTATGAATACTCCGAGAGTGAACTTCTTATTTTTATCAAATGTTATATCACCTCCCCAATACCGAGTGGGCCACTACAGTTGAGGAGACTACTTTAAAATAGGTTTCAACTTTCTCTCAATTCTATAACTCTGAAACATAAACCTTGACTAACAAGTTGAACGCGGTACTACCAAGGTCATGGTGAGGATTGAACTCCAAACCTCTTGCTCATGAAGTAAGCGCTCTTCCTCTACGCCACTACCGTATTTTTTATAACTATTAGATTTTCAAACTACATATATGCTGTATAGCAAAATTGTAGTATGTTTGTTTAGATATTTGTCTTTTTTAGCATGGTCTAGCATAGATCAATCTGACCCAATGTTAAACACAAAAAAAACACACTTTACAATGGGAGTCTCCTTGTAGTCTCTAGCAATTCTTTTAGCAGAGGTTAAAGCAAACGAGTTTTCAAAAAATATATATAAATATATAGATCCAAAAATATAATAAATAATCCTTGTTTATTATACATTATAAACGTATTTAAGGCTAAATAATATCAAACCATTTACAAAGAGTCTTGTATGATAAATACTTGATTTGATTTACACGTATCTTAAGAGTTTAAGGTAAAAAATAAGTTATGACGTTCCGGTTAGAACAACCCTAATTTCGACCGGAATGAACTTATAATCACAAATTTAGGACGGAACTCCGGTTCATCCTAACTTTTTTAATAACATTTTTGGACTAATTTTTTTGTGAGCTTTTAAAAAGATTGCAAATTATTGAAGGTACAACCATATTTATTTTAAATAGAGCAAATTAGTTTATTTTATTTTTATTATATTGTATATATATATATATATATATATATATATATATATATTAGTTTAAATTAAAAAAACTTTACGTCATGTTGATTTTTACAAGATAGTTTTTGTTAACACTAAAAAAAGTTTTAAAAAATACAAAGTTTGCAAACGCAATTATTATCATATTGATTCTTGATATGTTTTTTGAAAACCTCAAGACTTTTTGCGGACATGGTCTTACTATTTAGAGTGTTATATTAAATATTTTTATGGTGGTTGTATGGCCTTAGAAAAAGTAACATTAAACTTTATGGTAATTCTCTTAATCTAAAAAAGAGTGCAGAACAATACTGATATAATGAGTTTTTGCAAAACTGACGTTTTTCCAACGCCTTGTGCCCTCAAAATACGTACTCTTTGGGAATAAAAAACTATTAACAATTCTTCCATTATCCCGTTACATAATAGAAATAGGGGTTATTCATAAAGTACGCACATCAAAAATTATAAATTTTGATGCTCTCCTTTCCCCCTTGTGACAAAGTGACGTACGCTTTTGAAACACTCTGAATATATATATATATATATATATATATATATATATATATATATATATATATATATATATATATATATATATATATATATATATATATATATATATATACGCTTTTGAAACACTCTAAATATATATATTTATATATATATATATATATATATATATATATATATATATATATATATATATATATATATATATATATATATACGCTTTTGAAACACTCTAAATATATATATTTATATATATATATATATATATATACATATATATATATATATATATATATATATATATATATATATATATATATATATATATATATATATATAAATATATATATATATATATATATATATATAAATATATGTATATATATATATGTATACAAATTTTATATATATATTTATATATATATATATATATATATATATATATATATATATATATAAATATATTTATATATATATATATATTTATTTTTGTTTATTTATATATATATATATATATTTATTTTTATTTATTTATTTATATATATATATATATATATATATCTTCTTTTTTTATTTTTATTAACGACATGCCAGAATTAGTCAAAAATAATTGCAAACTCTTTGCTGATGATAGCCAGTTGGTTGTTAAAATAAAAACAGTTACGGACTTGGCTTTAGTTCAAAATGATAATGATATGATATGTAATTGGTCAAGACTTTGGTGCATGGAACTTAGCATAAATAAATGCAAGGTTCTTAAGTTCCGCGGTGGTTCCACAGGCATCAATATCTCCTTGACAATGTTAGATAAAAATGGCAGTCAAATTCCTATTGAAGATGTATCCGTTGAAAGAACATTGGGTGTTCTGATGCAAAATAAACTGAAATGGTCAGATCAGATTAGTGATGCCACTCTCAAACCTAATTCTATACTTGGGGTACTCAAAAGAACTTTTAAAAAATGGAACTATGTTCGTGAAGCTCTATGCAGCATATGTAAGACCGATATTGTAGTACTGTGCACCAATTTGGTGCCCTTTTCTTCTAAAGGACATTAAAAAGTTAGAGTCGGTTCAACGAAGAGCTACCAAACTCGTTCCACAATTTCGCAGCTTGAATTACAAGAAACGATTCCACAATTTCGCAGCTTGAATTACAAGAAACGATTCCAAATTTCGCAGCTTGAATTACAAGAAACGATTAGCAAATCTAGGTCTCAGCTGAGATGTAATTCAATTTTTTAAAATTTATAAAAAATTAAATATTGTTAACTGGCAACAGCAGATTAACAGAGCAAGTGCACTCCTATGTGATGGTCCTGCAGGTCATCTTCGTGGTGCCAAGCATAAAATTGATCGAGAATTATCGAAAAACTCTCAAAGACATAACTTCTTTAGAAACCGAGTGGTGTTATCATGGAACACTTTGCCTGCTTTTGTAGTTGCTGCGAATTCAGTTGATCGTTTCAAAAACAATTATGACAAATGGAATCGTTCTATCTCACGTCGGTCTACTATGGTCGGGTCTTGTTAAATATATATATATATATATATATATATCATATATATATATATATATATATATATATATATATATATATATATATATATATATATATATATATATATACATATATATATATATATATATATATATATATATATATATATATATATATATATATATATATATATATATATATATATATATATATATAATAAATGTACCCATTAATTTTTTTTTCCTGTAAGCATTGTTTTTTGTAAAAAAAGTTTCCATGATCCGGGATATAAACAACATATTTTTGGTAGTTGTTAACAACTACCAAAAATATGTTGTTTATATGCTATGCAAATTAAGGTAGCCATAGCAACCAAAAAAATTAACCTTAGAATTCTAAATCTCATTTTACTACATACCCCCAGCATTGTGAACTTAGCGCAAATAAAATACTGTTAAAACAATGTTAATGTAAAAATGAGTAGTTGCTATGCGAAATTTAGTACCACAGCAACCAATTTAAAACATGCGATATCTGAACGGGAATTTAAGGGGATGAATTTAAGGGAATAATCAACTCAAATTTGATTAAAGCATCATATAGCTTAAACAAAAATAAGGCAGCACATGGTAATTATTAGTTATAGTGCGGCAAAAAATAAATTTCTTTGTGTTTTTTTTTTTTAATTTGTGATTTTCAAAATATAACTGAAATATTATGCTATGACATATTTATTTTACTCATTGGTTTTTCTTACCTTTAAATACTCTAGAATAACATGTACTAATTATTCGTTTTAAAAATGTAGATGTAATTGAAATATAACACAGTGTTGATGTCACCGTAAATTACTTATTTATAATTTTTTTAAATTTCAATATTAAAATGCTTAGAGTCATGGTAACAAAGGGATTTAATATAAATAAATTATCAATAAATTTCTCCTAATATATGCAGATACTAAAATTAAATAAGTTTTCAAGATTAAGACAACTAAAGTTTTTCCCATTTTGTCCACCTACTGGTCCGCTGTGCACTGGGTAACCGACTAAAAAAATAATAAAACAAAAATATCCTTGATTTTATTGTGCGGCCCCTTATGCGTTAGGGCAACCGAACATAAGAGGCCCGATAATAAAATTGCGCACCTGGTGCTGGGTGAGCCCTGCTGTTAATACGGAACTGACGATACTTGCTTTTTTATTACACTAGTTTTATTACGGTAGTGAACACCTTTATTACGTTCACTTAAATATAACGCAGAACAGAAACATGACAAAAATAGTTATTTTAAAATAAAAAATAAATTAATACGAGCGTTACGATAAGTTATATATATAAGTATTTAGATACAACCATAAAAAGTATTTTGGCTTTATCTAAAGTGTTAAACTATATTGTTTTTGGAAAGAAATTGAAATTTCTCAGAAACAGAAATTATGTTCTAACATACCATTAAATTAAAAGCATAAAAATAAAATATCTTGTACAGATACAAGAATATCTCAGCGGAATACACAACAATGCTCTTAATAACTTAAAGGTATCTGCATTTTGCAATTTTGTTCTAAGTTTTGCATTTTGGCTTCTTTTATTTAGCGTGGTTGTTGTTAAAAACCAAGCTAACCAAAATCAAAGTTATTTCTTGAAATGACAAACTAGAATAATTGTTAGATAATAGAATTATAAAGGAATAATTAATGTATGGAATAGACTATTTGAAATTAGTTAATTCCAGACAACAGATTTATGAATAGATATTAATAAATAAACAAAAACAAAAAAAAATTTCATTTCTGTTAGAGTGGTTGTTACGACCAGGACCAGGGTGGTAAAGGGGGTATCACACCCCAAGCTGTTATATATGCATTTGAGTTAGCGCATTAGCGTTAGCAACAACCACACTGATTAAGAGAAGCAAAAAGCAGCTCCATAGCTACAAATATGCACAACTCTTTTATGGTAAATTTTTATCAGGGCCATTAACTTATTTCCTCCTGACAAAAAAATTAATACTAAAACAAATAAACCAAAAAAAATGCCTTTTTAAAGGTTTTTTGCAAAAATCATTTTTTCTAAAAAGTTAAAGACCTCAATTATTAGAGAAAAACAAGATATTAGAGAAAAAATAAAGGGTACAACCCTCTTTGCAGGAAACAAATTTAACATGCAATTTCATTGGGACTACCCAAATGCTTTCATGATAAAGTAAGATCAAAGTAAAGTCTAAAAGATAAAGTAAAATAATTATAAAAAAAAAAGAGATTCCAAAAAGTGGAGTTCTCCAGTTGGCTCTGATTTACTTTTATTAAATTTACACATATGCTGGAAGTTTCAGAGCTCTAGCTAGTCCGGAAGGTAGTGAAAAATCAATCGCAAGATTCCGGGACAACTGATAGCCGACAAACATCTTGTAAAGTCAAAATGAAGTTCGAAAAAAAAAATTACAAGTTTATTCTAAAGCGCTATTTTAATTGAATAAGATTTTATTTGACCTATTGTCCTTGTGCGGGTTGGACACCAACGCAACAAAAAGTAGGTTATTAGGGTGCCCACAACCTATATTAGAAGATTAAACAGCTTTTCTTACCATCTTTTTTCAAATAGAAATTTCATTATATATGATAAAACGCAATAAAAGATTATATCTGATAAACACTCCTTTAATCATATAAATTATAACTTATAGTTTAAACGACTTATAATTTTTTGAAAACTGTTGTAGCAGTCGATGTCCTTGCGGGTACCAAAAATATTATATTGCGTCATATTACCATAACAAAATACTTGATTGAAAAGGCAAATACAAAGAAAAAAACTGGAGAAAAAGCGCGCTCTAACGAACAGTGACTTAGTCAGGGTTTACACATGCATGAATTACCCTTAGCTAAGAAATTATGCTCCCTTCCTCCCCCGACAAAGTTTCATTATGGCCACTAACCTATTTCTACTTAACAAAAAAAAGAAATGAAAAATCAATGATTATTTACCAGCTTCTATTAGCACACATGCGGCAGGGTTCCCGTCTCTACACTACTGTTATTCCCGCATGACTATATTTGCCTTTAATTATAATAGAACTACCCTTTCTGATATACGTGAAAAAAAATTTTTTCCTGATGCCCCACCACATACTTGCCCACATACCTGAAGTAGTACCCAGAAGTGCCCTCAAACAGAAAATGGATTTGAATACGCTACCTATCTCAAAATTTACGTTAAATCAACATTAAATGACTGTTCTTTAAGAAAGTAAATAATGTAACTTACATTTTACTTACTTACAAAGTAAACTATAAAATTTTAAAGAAAAAATTACTTTTATTTGTAAAAGTAAATAACAATTTTTTTCGAATTACTTTTATGTAAGCTAATTAATGCTAATTAGTAACTTTTACACGTAAAAGTAATTTGTTGTTATGATGTAGTTTTATCTTACTTGGTAAAGTAGGTGTTATGTTTTTTAAATATTTTATATACGTAAGTTTACTTCATAAATAACTTTTTTTACATTTAAAAAGTAAATTACATTTCGATGTAAAATTTTTACATAATTATAACCAAAATTACTTTTGAAAGTAATTTACTTTACACGACTTACCTTTAAAAGTAAGTTACTTTTACAAGTAAAAGTAAAAATGCAAATAACTTTTACTTGTAAAAGTAAATTACTTTTTCAAGTAACAGTTACTCATTTAAAAAACTTAACTTAAGTAATTAAGTTTTACACGTTATATAATTTACGTAAAAAAAACGAATTACTTTTAAATGTAAGTAGTTTATATATTTTTATATAAGTTATGTAAAGTAATTTGCGCTTAAAAGTAATTCGCATTTTTACATCAAAATAAGTAAAAGTGCCATCCCTACTTTGTATTTTGCTTTTCTTCTAAATCATATTGTATGGACTGCTTGTCAAAACAGCAGTAAACCCTTGTGTTGATGACTTTTTTTTCGCGGTGTGATAACCTATGGAATAGGAGAAACTTGTATCACGGGAATATATTGTTTTTTTATTTGATACTGTTGGTGGAACAACTTGTTCTGAAAAGTTGAGGCTTTGTGTCAAAACTTGATTAACAAATAGCTTTACAACTTTTGAGTGTATGAATGAATGAATGAATGAGTAGATCTTTATTTTGAGTAATGACTAGAATCTTCTGTGGCGAGATGTCGTTGCCCAGGAACAACTATTAACGTTGTTTTTTTACTGAGCAACTGCAGAGGAATATCCGTTGTTTATTGAGCAACTGCAGAGCAATATCAGTTGTGCAGAAGCAAAATCATTGTCTTTAAAAACACTATGATTTTTCGGGAAAATGCCCGTCTTAACGAAACCATTAACAGCAGTGATAGTAGATACTGCCTGCACATGGCTATTTTTAAACTATTTTTGGCTATTTAATAAATTGTTTTAATTTGTCTAGGAAGACACAATAAAATAACATTATTTTGACGAGCTAGATTAAATAATTTGAAGTATGCGTTTTATGCCCTTCTAATATTAGCAAAAAAGGTTCATGCTCTGTTGGGTTAGCATGCTTTACAAAGTGCATT